GGGGGGGGGGGGTTGAATGTAGTTAAAGTGTGGGCAGGAGAGCACGTTTTCATGTCGTGGTGAGTCTCAACAGGCACAGGTAGGTATGCAGGCAGGCAGGCTGACCTCTGACAGGCAGATGACGATGTGTTTAGGGAAGTGCGTAAAATACCTAACCCTCCCCTAAGCAGCTTTCTTACCCCTTTTTGGTCTTCCACACCAGTATTTGTGTCCTTGTGGAGAGTTACAAAGAATAATAAGGATAATTCTTCCAGTTGTTTCACCGGAATACAATGTAACAGTGATGTATAAATAACAATAAAGCAGAATTAATTGTTGTAACCTGGGATACGACTTATTTTGTGATGCTTTTTTTTTCTTTTAACCTTCATGTATTTACTTGATTAGTCTTCAACATTGTCGGTTGGGTCAAGACTACAACTTTGAAAATCAAATGTAGAAATACTTGTGCAGAATGGTACATTTCACATAAATTTGTATTATAGCTTACATTATAGTTGCATTAATGTGTACACTTTAATGCTGCAGCTGAGTTTTTTTAATCTGTTGTGATCATGCGTTTTGACTATTAGGCAAGGTACCTTTATTTATACAGCACATTTCATACACAGACGTTTCAAAGTGCTTTACATAAGCCAAGAAAAACAATAATGGCATTTAAAACAATAAGCATTAAAGGTAGGGTTGGCAGTTCTCTTCACAAGCATTTTTGTTACATATCTTGAAATTCTTTCTTCATCCGGATGGCAGTAATACACAGACTATGTAAATCTGTGGCAGCAGCAGGGCAGGAAAAAGCTTGACCAATAATTTTACTCGTCCCAAGCGAAACCGTTGGATGGCCTTACCCACCTGTCAACCTAACTTGCTACTTGTGCGCACTCTGCCCGCTTGCTCAACGCACGAATCAAGAGTGTCACACAAAGTGTTGCTGTTGCAGGCAAACTACGGCAGAGACGGTCCCCACAGCAGCTTTCATTCACAGAGACTGTTGTTGCAGGTCAGGCCTTCATGCAGCCTTATAGGTAATGTTGTCGTTGTTGCCAGAAGTTGGTACCTGAAGTGTGAGAGTGAGAAGGCCGCTGCATGGAAGAGACTCTATTTACGTGAAGCCAGACAGTAGTCAGCTCTAAGTGTATTGATGGGATTGTATTGTAGTAAACTGGGCATCAAAGGCCACATGCAGTGTTTGTGTTACCAAGATGGACTAAAGCCTGTGTTGAAGCCGGCCTCCCTCTTCACTTCTCCCTGCTGGAAAAGACCAGACTTCTAAGGCTACGCACCAGGGCTAAAGCAGATTAGGCATGAACCAGAGGTCCGCAATTATGGTTCGGGGCCACAGGTCTGGACAGATAACCCCATCTTTGAGAAGGTTACAACTAAAGAGAAGTTGGATGCTGCAAGAAGCCAGAATGAACACTGGCATGGCTTTTGAACAACAGTGACAACAGAGAACAAAAGGGGCTGAAAAGTGACACCATGGTGGCCATATTTCTTCTGGATGGATAATTAACACTTTTGTTTTGTTTGGGAGCATTTGTTATTTTCCTGAAATCTGTAATTAGTAGCCAGGCAGTGCACGATGTGTTTTGGAGTAGCGGCTTTGGAGAGAAGTCAAAACGATGGTGGGATATCTTTGGTTCTATACTTTCAAAATGCTTCCTCTTGCTGGTTTTAACAAAACAAAATGAAGAAAAAATATTAAGATGAGTTCAAATGAAACAGAGGTCTGAAACTTGATTTTCTAGTAGTCACAGTACAAAAAGTGCAGCATAGTAGTAACTGAATTACTTTACACTGTATACTGCTGGGGAGCTTGTGAATTTCCCACTGAGGATCAGTAAAGTCATATGATTATACTCTTATTTGATTCTGAATAGTAACTAAATGTAGCCTATTAAATGAATACAGCAGGAGTAAAATGAACACTTTTATTCTGAAATTTAGCGAAGTCAAAATACAAAGTAGCAGAAAATCGAAATATTCAAATTATGGTTGTGTTGCATTGTGGGTAGTGTGGGCACCAGCCTTTGACAAGTAGAAAAATGTGGGATGGATAGATTTTGTCCGTCTTGAGTCTGGCAGTGCTATAGGTGTGCAATACTAAATTTGCTGAAAGACCCTGTTACCAAAAGCCAAACTTGATACGCTTTGAAAATGGCTTGCGTCCCTGTGGATATTGAAAACCTTTTAAAGCCTGCGTATCTGACAAAGACTGGACCATAAAGGTTCAGTACTCGGATGACCTTGACAGAGATTGGTCTTTCTCAAGTAGTGAAATTTCTTTATCTTGATTCACCACTTGACCTGCTTTATGATGGAAAACCCTTTGATGAGTACTTTTGTGGGTGTTTTGTTAGGAATAACTAATTCAGTCTTTATTCTGCCCACTTACAACTGATGTCACACACACACTATACATTTCTGGAGTTCTTTTAAGACCTTAAGATGTTGTATTCAAGCATGGCAACCCTGATCTGATCACTGGCTAACTGTTACAATCACGATTATAGCAAAAAAAAAAAAAAAACTCAAACTTCTTCAGCACCAGTATTGCTACCAAAGCTTTTCTTAAACCAACAGAGAAATAAAGAGCTGCAGCAATAGACTAATACCGGACTAATTATGAAAACTCCTGAAATCTCAACAATTTATCATGTTCCACTTTGAATGCTCTGGTCCTATTAATGCTAAAGGTCAGCAGAGTAACATAATCCAGTTCTTAGAGAGCTAAACTGTTATGGGCAGGATAATAAACTGTCTCAGTTCCTTCAGCTGTAAGTGAGCTCCATCTAATGGTTGTATTTTGGTTGCTGGTCTAGTACAGTTAAAATGTATCTTATGGAACCTACTGTACCAGGAGTTAACCCATTGCTTAATCTACTCATATAGGCTATATACAGTAAAATAGGAGAATATATATTTCTATTAATTTGTATAAATTATACAAATTATCAAAAAAAAACCCTGTTTGATATATGTGATTTATTTAAAGCCAACGCAGGCACAGGTAAGCACAACAGTGTCGCTGTGGTAAACTACACTGCAGGGTCTCCTTGTCTCACTGTCAGCTGAAGAGACACATTGCCTGAGCATTATTGATTTGACTCCCCTCAGGCAACATGCTGCATCAGGTCTTCACCGACAAATGAAGGGACTAAAATAGTGCAGGACTCGGTCGGGTTCTGGGATTATAGCTATAGGTACATTTACTGTAACTGCACTGTCAGCATGTTTCAGACTGCATGGAAGGCAAAATGTATTACAAAAAGTCTCTTATGACAGCATGTAAAGAGCAACAGTCCTAGAAAGGAAAGAAACCAATACAGAAAATGTTTTGCTTGAACACATAAAAGTACTGCTGAGCTGTTGAAAAAAAAAAAAAAAACCTAAGATATACTGGAAAAGTAAGTACATTGCATGAAACACAATGTAAAGATAATAAATCAGTTTGCTGTTTTTGACATCCCACAGTAAGTGCTTGCATGTTTAAATTAGGCACTTACAGTATTTTAAATATACACTCACCAGCCACTTTAATATTCACACCTGCACTTCAGTGCAACACTATACCTTAACATCTGTGTTGATGAAGCTCAAAACGTTTCAGTTTTTAGTGCAATTGTCATAAATTCAATTCTATGTTCATTATTGAGGAACACCTCTAAATATAATGTAGTCCAGTACAACACCACCTTTAACTATGACCTCAGTAATAAACAGAATTGAATTTATACATTCATGACCATTTCACCAAAAAAAAACCCAAACATTTTGCATTTCATAAACATGTTAAGGCAGAAGTGTTGCACTGAATTGCATAAACTTGTAGGTGTGACTATTGAAGTGAATGGTCAGTGTATATCACAATTATAGATACATCTCCATCTTAAATATAACAAAAAGCAGCTGAACAAGAAAATGTATAGCAGAAAACTGGCTCTAGTGCAGAACAATTATTATGAAACTGCATGGAACCTTTGAATATTCAGTTTCAGGATGTGAACCAGTGTGCTGCAATCTTCTAGCATACATGACTATGGCTGGGCACAAACAATGCATAAAATTTCACTGCATGTCCAAATTGCAAGCAGGACATTAAGACAATGACATCTTATATAAGGCAGGAGCAGACTGTATAAAATACCCAGTGATAAAATCATGATGTAGGCTTGGCAACATCGCCCATTTCATGAAAGCAAACATGGAAATTTTTCAAAGGCAAAGCTTTGTTTAGAACCCAGCTGATACAACAGCATGTCTGTTTTACCAGCCAATTTAAGTTAATAGCAGATGCAGTAAATTAGTATTTGTGTTTATAACAGCTGATAAATTAAAAGAGGTTAGGTAACAAAGGATAAATGCTTGAGCTGTTTCATTACCAGTGTTGCTATTGCATAGTTTGTCCACTAGTGATTCACTGCTGGCCTACAAGTTCACTGAACACACCGCAGCCCATTTGAATGCTGCGGAGCACAGCAGAGCGGGCCCAGTCAGGTCATCTTATATTCGAGGATGGGACAATTACATGTTGGCAGCATCGATACCAGAGAGCACCAGTGTAACATGGTTTATACAGTGTGTTATGGCTATCATGGGTTGTTTGTAGCCTAATGTTGCCAGACTAGCAAATGGTTTAAATTCTTAATAGTCAGTCTTTCAGACTTAACCCTGAAAGTGTTTTATTAGCCAGGTTTAACCTGCAGGTGTTTCTGTGGGCTGATGAAACATGTTTTGTTTCCACCGAGGAAACACATTTATGAGCAGTGAAAATCTCCGGAGGTTTTTACCTTGGAAACGACCCATGGAGAACATCTGTCCAGCAGTCACAGATGATATGAATTGGAACTGATTTGATTTTCACTGGTAGTTTATCTCAAAAGTTCGGTGTTTCTATTAAAAGTTAATATTGGCCAATATGTTGTCAGATTTTTCAGTCCCACAAATAGCCTTAAAAACCCTGTATCACTGTCATTAAGACCTTGCATAAGGGTTAGTCTTTCTGAGTCCAGCTGTACATTAGTAGACCAGATACTTGAGCTCAGAGTAGATGAGTGGAAACATGACTTTGCATGCTTGATACAGAATGGCTCCGCTCTTCAAAAAAGCTCGAGGTTTGGTGCTCCAGGACTCAGACTTGAAGTTGAAGTAGACTGCATACAGTGCCACAGCAAAGAAGTGTCCAATGAGGGTCATGGGTTTGGGTGTCAACCTGGTAAAAATCATGATTCATTCAGTGTCAAAATGCTACATCTCTAATATGTTGACATTTTGGTAAATATGCTTTTTCGCTTTCTTGCCGAGTGAGATGAGAACAATGGTTACATATCGTAACCCAAGCTTCTTTGATTATAGGCGTAGCCCTCTAAGAGCTGTCACTATTGGGTTTATCCCTTCACACATGTACAGTAGAGAAGAGACTTCTGTACTGGGTTGACTCCACTCAGGTCCACTCTGATTGTATAAATACCTGTGTGAACCGAGCTCTGCACCCTAGGCCAGCGCTTTCTCTTCAGCTGGTGGAGGTGAAGTCAGCGGGGCTGCTAGCTTAGAGGCCTATACTCATAGAAGCCTGGGTTACGGTACGTAACCATTGTTCTATTTCGTATAGGCTTTGCCTTAAGAGATGTTGCTATTGGGATAAAAGCACAGTCAGAAATCATTTTGGCCAGATTAGCTAGCAGCTTTCCCCATTTCCAGTCTTTATGCTAAGCTAGCTAGATATATTTCAATGCCTACCATCACGCCAAGTTAGAAAAATGTTTTCTATCGTCTTATTGCATTAGGACATTATTTAATGCTTACACTGAGAGTAGTCCAACAGGTCCCGCAACACACTCTCCTCCAAGCTTGAAGTACTGGAAGCAGGCTTTTCTAAGCTCATGAAGAGAATCTAGTGAACATGAAACAGCCACATGAATATGAACACAAAATGACCATTTTCTGGCAGTGAAATTATTTCATGCTTTGGCTTTTTTATTTACAAAGAATAATAATTATGATCCTTTGTCTCTGTTTCCTGTGTTATTAGATGCAGAGACTCACCATCAGTGGCTGCAAACAGCTCATACAGGGCCTGGGCCAACACATTCACCACAAAAGAATGCGAAGACTTGCGTTTCCAGTGGAATTTTTTCTTTGCCTGTTGAGAAGAATAAAAAAAAGCTGCGTGTAATACTGCGCACTGGTCTGCCGTCTCCCACCTGCGGCAGAGGGAATAGCAGGACAGAGCAGATGCAGGAGAGGCTCCAAAACAGCTTCTGCTTGCTGACTCATTCTAGTTAGGTGCAGAAAAACCATCTTCCTCTGTAGCCACTTGTATTCTTGATTGATTCTTGATTTGCTTTTGAATTATAATTTGAATGTTGGCAAAGGTTTAGTAGTCTTAACACAAAAGGGGTTTTGGGGCACTAAATAATTTAGGGGTCAAATAGTTCCTGTGTTCACCTGCAGTATGGCTTTGTCATCATACAGATCTGGGATGTTCTTGAGCAGACTCCTCCAGATGCAAATGTCGTTGAGAGCAACACTCATCCCTCCTCCCGTCAGAGGATGCCTCATGTTGTAGGCATCACCCAGGAGAAGCACACCTGTAAAAGACAGACTGTTAACACTCCACTCCAACACCTACTGTACATACATTGGCCGTTGTTCAAATGTAGCAAGGGTAAATCCCAATTCCCTTTTTTGATCGTTCCTCAATCCTTACTTAACCCAGATATCATTCCAGTCTGCCATCATAAAGGATGTCCCATAGCTCCTATTCCTGCTCTGAGGATCAGGGAGGGTGCTGGAGGAGCCATGAGCGAGGATACATGAGAGCATCCTTTTTGGAAGTTTTTTATGAACAGTGCCGCCCCTTTTTCAGAAATCAATTGGTGATTGGAGGCTTCAGATGAATGATCAGAGAAAAGGATATCTCGTGTCTCTAGAAACACGTTTCCTTGATTCTGCTCTCCCCAAATCTTTCCCTCACATCTTAGTGGATGCAAATGAGGGAAATGTGGATGCACTTACAGGAATTGGGATTTGTCTACCAGCACCTCTAAATCTCACTAATTATCCTATTGTATTTCATTTGTTTAATCCAAAAAAATTCAGTGTACAAACTCCAACACCAAAAACAGGTTGTTTGCATCGTTTATGCAAAGCTAAGCTAACCACCTGCTGGCTGTAGTTTCACATTTACCATACAGATATGAGAACTGTATACAGCTGCTCATCTAACTCCCAGCAGGAAAGCCGATAAGGATATATCCCAAAATGTTGGACTATTCCGTAAGTATTGGTATTTCACCTTTAAAAAAAGTATTTGAGTGTTTTCATAAAGCAAAGTGCTATTACATGTTCACACCGGAAAGAGCATTTTCAGTCATTTTTAAGTTTAACTTAAAACAGACTACTTGTAAATTGGTCGACAACCAGGAAAGAGTTTTACTTTGCACTGCTTCTAGATGTGCATCAGATATTACACAAGCTGAAATTAGTTCAACAGGTGCCCTCTGGCCCTCTTAAATAGCACCACAGTCAATAACACTTCAGTACCAGGCTTGTTGACAGGGGAGGGGGGGAGGAAGCTGGCAGGCATGGACCTGAGCCGATCGTTCTGTAGCGCCATCATGAAAGGCTCCTTTAAATGCTCTGGAGGAGGGAGAGAAAGAGAGCGAAGGCAGTCGATCACTCACTCAGCTGGATGAAAGCCCGAAGGTGCATGCTGGGCACATACACAAAAAAAGGCTTTTCTTTTGGTGTCTGAATGTACATTTATCAACGTATCAGTGTGACTGACTGCTATTTCAGATACAGTAGACCAGAGATTTAATATTTCAGCTGAATAGAAGAACACACCATGAATATCAAACCTTTCACCTGCAGTTTCCTTGGTGGTATACACAGCAACACAGGAGGCGGTCTCCATTTATTCCTACCTACCTACCAACGCTTTTGGCATCACTGCTTCATAAAACATTTTGAAAAGCAAAATCATTCCAAGAAGATGTTCTTCCAATAATTTTACAATAACCCATAGTCATTTCTCACTCTAAACGAGGTCTTCCTCAAAGCTGGGGCATTTTTCAGTTAGAGATTATACAAACCTGGTAACTGTGGGTGTATCTTCTCAGCCATGTACTCTGCAAGGTTGCGTGGCATCTCCCCTCTGATGTCCACCAGCACCCTGGTGTGTGAGGATGAGATCTGGTAGATGAGCACCGGGCTCGGGTTGGCCAGCACCAGCTCAGCATGGTTGGCTCTGAACTGGGGGCAGTCCTGGGGAGGAGCATCAGAATCAGCTTTATTGGTCAGGTGTGTTGAACACATGAGGAGTCTGAAGCTGGTACAGCGGCTCTCAATGTGCATGTACATGTCCTTATGTAATAGGCAAGCAAACAATATAAAGCTGAGAGGACAGAAAGGAAAGAAAGTAATGTGCAAACAAGCAAGAGGAATGGGCCTTAGGAAATGAGTTAAAATAAAAATAAGGTAAGACCTGTATGTTCTCACAGTCTAGGTGCATTTTACAGATCTGTAAAAGGAATATTTACTGTTATTGCACTGAGGGTTAATATACTTGCAGACACATTGTTTAAATTTTTGGTTTTTCACTCTTAGAAGTATTTAAAGTTGGTAAAAGTACATTTGTAAGGTCTGCTCACATATTTATTTCTTATACCAATAACATGGAATGTAGTACTTTACAGTAGATATTAAAAGATTTGAACAATTTAGGGCAGCAAAAATTTCTCATATATTCAGTTTGTCCCTAAATGTCAGAAAGAAAATGCTTGCTACAATTTTCCAGAGCCCAAGGTGCCACATATAAAGTATTTGTTTTGTTCAACCAACAGTCCAAACCCCAAAAGAATGTTTTACCCTTATACAAACAGCACAGTTCAGACATTTTCCAAAATATAATAAAAACTCAACTATGTGATTTTTTTTTTTTTGCTTGAACCTTTATTTACCTGACAGAAGTACAAGGAAGGGGTTTAATCAATGTTTTCAGTGACCAGTTTTTTTGTATATTTTGTAAATATAAACAAATTTATAATTTGATGCCTGCAACGCACTCAAAAAGAGCGGAGACAGAGGCCTGTTTGCCACTGTGTTATACCACATTTCCTTGTAATTACACTTTTTAATTGTTTGGGACCTGCGGATACTAGTCATTGCAGTTATGAAAAGTAGAAGACTGCTGCTGCTCAACAGGCCGTGGTCACCATTGTCTAGTTCTCCTCTTCATGGTGGCCATAGTTACAGATTTTCTGTCACTCAATTAAACATTCCAGCATCAGACCTATTCAAAATTATTTCAGTTTATTCGGTGTGATGCCGTAATAGCAGTCAAACTGGGTGGTACTATTGTTCTCACCTTCATAAGGCATCCGACAAAGTGTGAGGAGATATTGGCTCTCCCAGAGATCAGAGTCTTTCTGAATTTGGAGAAGCAGCCATCAGCTACCACTGTCAGTGCTGCATGGATTTCCTACAAGAGACAGGTTCACACATCAGACACTTTCTGTATTACACACAATGTTTCCTTCCATGTTGGGGGGGGGGGGGGACCTTGGTTTCTCCAGTTTCTTTCTCCTTGTACTGAACTCCAGTTATACAACCCTCCTCTTCCTGTAAACTGGTCACAGTGCCTTCTATAAATGTGACACTGGGGGGCGCAATGAGACAGTTAAAGAGCTCCACCTGCCAGTACAGCATTAGTGATATCAAAAGTCAAAGTGCTTATTTGTCATGTGCACAGTTAGGAAACGTGTTTTCCTGTACAATGAAATTCTTACTTTGCCGTCCACATGAATGCCACAAAATACAAATGAAATATAAAGTAGATAAATAAGTAACACAAAATCTAAGGCCCTTTAAGCAGCAACAAATGGAGCAATATAATAAAAATATATAAGGATATAATAAGAGAATGTATGCTGCATGGGAGCAGCATGTGCAGCAGTCAACAGTCAATGTGCAATGTAAACAGTACAGGTCGACAGTACATGACATATTTCCTGATATGATGATGAAAGATGAAAACTACTGAAATACAGTAAAAGAAATGTCTTTTTGATATATTAAGAAATGCCAAATATTGATTTTTAAACAAGAGCTAATAATGCCTTTTCATTTAACTTTATGTAACCAACCACATATTATTGTGTAATGTGAAATTAATATTATTAAACTGCCTTTAAAGTAAAAACAGTATAAAAAAATCAGCTTAGAACTTGATGATTCAACTGAAAGCTCTAGAAAAGGCAGTCAGTGGATCCTAAATTAAGACTTTTTTGGCAAACTAGTCATGTCTTTTAGCTTTAAAGGGGTAGAATAAATGAGGGACATCTGAGGCAGAGGGCAACCACCAGATTCTAACCCTCAGTGCTGTCAATCACAGTGCCAGCCCATTAGACAGTTGGCACATGAAGCCATTTGTTGTAAATCTCTTACTTTGGCTCGGCCTGGGCTGCTCTCCTCAGGGCCATGATGAATCGACCATGATGGAAAGCACGTCCACACTGTATGCTACCCTGCTCCTGGGGGTAGGGGATCTCCACCTCTGTACTGTTCTCTACATCATGAATCACGTAACCGTTCACCAGATGGGCATCCAGACCCTCCACTGAACCTGAGACCAAACGCACAACAGGTTGTCTCATAACACACATTCAGTCAGTCAGTCTGCTACTCTTTACATACAGTATCTGTGCTTTCATGTGTAATAAAAAAAATGGAACACAGCTGCTGGGAGTGGGAGAATGGACTTAAAATGAAATATGCTACTGTGGCCTAAATCCTTGCATCCATTGCTTTTATTATTCATCTTAAAAGATTGTTCAGCCCTTAATTTCAATTTGATACAAGCATATTTACGAAACCAGATTTAACAGTCTGGTATGATGGCTGGGTGAAACACTCAAATTCCATCAAGTGGAACTACTGTACATGTCTTTTACATCATTTTATACGCATTTCTCCAAAATTCAACCTGTAATATTTGGCATCTTTGGACCCTTTTGTGTCTTGAGTAGAATTTTAAATAGAGTCAGTGTGAACAGCATTTGGCTGCATAGTGTAAATTTGTGAAGACTGTGACACCAGCAGGTTAGGGAGTTTTAAAGGGGATAAAACCCAGATTTATTGAATCTTTTCAACAGTCATTTGCCAAGAAATTGCACCTATGGGCAGTCTGAAAAAGGGACACGGCATAAAGAATATGAAACAGAAATGCCTATATATCAAGATCATTAACAAAGTATTTAAAGAGATCTTCACAAGTACAATGTGAGCACTGTAAACTGAATGACACAGGAAGAGCCCCATATACGTTTTTAGAAAACATTTCAGTATTTTGTTTTTGTGGGATTTAAGCACAAACATTAACCAAATATTCTCCGGTCACAAAGAGATTTGTTGTGGTTGTGAGGTTTGAGAAACCACTTCTTTAAAGAGCCCATGGCTGCTCATTTTGCTAATTTCCAGCCATTTAATGTTTAATCTTGGGTACCTCTAGATTAGCTTTGCACCCATCATAGCTCCAAATAGTCTGGTTTAATCATTCTGAAATTATTACAGAGACCCTCCTTCTGAAAACAAAAGGATAGCTCGTGAATGTGCTCACCTCCTGCTGCCGGTGTTGTGTCGAAATCTGTTTCCCCATTGAGATGTTTCCCCTAACATTATCCTAACCACAACCACTGAAGGGGGGCGCTACATGATACTGAGGGGAAACACATCTCATTGGGGAAACAAAAAACACTGACCAATAAGCTACATTTTCTAAAAGTGACAATACTGATCATTCAAGGAACTCTGTAAACTATTGCATGGGGGGAAATCTGCCAGTGAGAATTTGCGAGATGTGTATAAACCGAGTTGCTTCTGCATAGAAGTACAACAATACTGTATAGGTACACGTAGTTTTCTGAGCTTTAAGTCATATTTAAGATAATTCATTGTAGATAAGTCAGTAAATACAGAAAAGCATGCCATGGGCTCTTTAAAAAAGACTGACTGATTGTACTTTTGTAGGAATGGTGACACTTTTATACAGTCGTAAGAGATACAGTCATAAGGACCTTTAACCTATGAGACAACAAATGCAAAAAACTGCAATGTACTATTACATAGTGTAATTTAATCATTTGTATAATCAATGTACATTCACAGGTCACCAGCAGTCACAGCTTCTTTCACCGACCTTCCAGCCCAAGCTCTTTCAGAGCCCTGTATCCTCCAGGCTGCAGCAGCTCCCCCACTATCCTGTCAGGCTCCTTCAGGTCCCTCTCCACCACAGTCACCCTCCTCCCATCCCAGGCCAGAATAAGTGCCATTGCTGAGCCCAGCACCCCTGCCCCAACGAGCACCACATCTGGCTCCGGGGCCACAGAAGAGCTACTGGCTGAGGCAGAGATGTCTGCATCTACTCTTTTCCTTGTTCTCTGGTTCTAAAAACAACCAGATTCTCATTATACAATGTAAAGTCCAAACAGAACTGGACTGTAAAGCAAACATTGTGCAAATGTAATAAGTAGCTAGGTCCCTCTGATTTCAGTTGCAGTCCTCAAATATATGCTCTTCGGCCATTTTATTAGGTACCAACTGTATGCACTTCATCACAACGCATTTGCCTTAACATCTGTGTTTACGAAGCTCAAAAAGGTTTCAGTTATTGGTGAAATTGTCATAAATGTATAAACTCAATTATCTGTTTATTACTTGATGTCATAGTTAAAGATGGTGTTGTACTTGGGCTACACTATATTCAGAGGTGTTCCTAATATTCTGACCCTCACACATAAGTAGCTGGGGAGGACAAATTATAGACACGTCTATATATAATGTAGTCCAGTACAACGCCACCTGATTTATAAAGAGTTTATAATCACAAAAGTTCAAACTTACATGTTATAATTTTAAAAATAAGGTTTAAAGGGGTTATAATTAAAAAAAGAAAAAGCTTCAACTGAACGGGACAAAACACCTATTTCAATCTAGTACGTCTTTGACATCCCATAATTAGCGGGAATCCATATGAATTCTTACCTTTTTACAGATGTTCTCTGCTTTCTCGCTTGTCTGTGTTGACGTTTGAAGGGCTTTGTGGCTGATAACGGGTAAAAACGACAGGAAATTAAATACCTGGGGGGCTCTGGGCCTGTGGCCATGGAAATACCTGATATATGAAAGCAGTAGCCCGACTGTAATAAATAAGATTACGACCATTATTAGCTCTTTGTGAACAAAAGTAAAAAATGTCCCGGATTTTTTATAAAGGTATGTGAAGCTCGCTATTCCCAGGAAAGTCCACATCTTTTTAAGTTAAAAACAAAACGTCAACTTGAAGGTGAAAGAGGACTACTGTGAAACAGATTTTCTACAGGCAGTAAAAAAAAAATCTCCCACACGTTTTAAAGGCATTCCAAAATTAATTCAGCCAGCCAAAGATGTACTGTTCCCTTTGTAATTCTCTGTTATTTGCTCACAGACAGTCGGGGAGATGCTGTCAAATTTATGCTAATAAGGAAAAACGGACCACTTCTGATTGGATGGGTTTACCTGGCGCATCTTCTACAGCTCAACCCTCCAATCAAAAAAGACGTGACGGTGAGCAGAGCTCACGCTATTAGCCGATTGGACAGCCAAGCCAGCACCGGGCCTCCCCCTGCCGCTACAGTACGCTGGCAGGACAGTAGTATGATGTGATGTCAGTGTTCCAGTGACTGGACTAAATAATATTGTTTAATGCTTTTCAAGATAAATTACTCTAGGTGCAAACCATTTTTTGGGCTACATGTCAAATATCATAGTGACTCTCAAGCTAAGATAGCAAGCTGTTACCATAGCAAACAAATATGCCATCTGGAAAAAAAGAGCTCACTCATTACACAAATAGGCCACATAGTTTAGCATTAGACATTTGTGTTGTTTTGTATCTTTTTAAACATATTCTGTAGTTGCAAAAGAAGAAACAGGGCCAAAGTGCCACATCTGTCCAGGTTTATGTTCTAGATAATATGTGTATCATCCATGGTACCCAGAAAAAGAAACAGGGCGAGCGCTTTCTAATTCTCATTCATAAAATAAAACCTGTTTGGGAAAGTAATTAGATATTAACAAGCAACTCTAAGTACTAGAAAAAGCTTTCATTGAAAGACAACTATACTGTATACACAAGATTATTTATCATGTACAAAATTACAAACTATACAGGTGCAGCTCAATAAATTAGAATATTGTGGAAAAGTCCATTTATTTCAATAATTCAACTCAAATAGTGAAACTTGTGTATTATATAAATTCAGTCCACACAGACTGAAGTAGTTTAAGCCGTTGGGTCTTTTAATTGTGATGATTTTGGATTTTGGAGAACCGCAGCCTTAAGAGGCTTCTCAAGCAAAATCGATTCAACAATGTGGGTGAACTTTACAAGGAATGGACTGAGGCTGGGGTCAAGGCATCAAGGGCCACCACACACCGCCGTGTCAAGGAATTTGGCTACAGTTGTCGTATTCCATTCCTATTC